TGCAAGGTTGATGAATTCCTTAACAAAATAATTTTTATAATCTCACTAAACAAAAATAAATGTGACACATTAAATTAAATACATTAAAACAAAATGTTTCTGCCCTAACCGGTTTGGCTCAGTGGATAGAGTGTCGGCCTGCAGACTGAAAGGTCTCAGGTTCGATTCTGGTCAAGGGCATGTACCTTGGTTGCGGGCACATCCCCAGCAGGAGTTGTGCAGGAGGCAGCTGATCGATGTTTCTCTCTCATCGATGTTTCTACTATCCCTCTCCCTTCCTCTCTGTAAAAAATCAATAAACTATATTAAAAAACAAACAAACAAAATGTTTCTGTATTGGCATAGAACATCAAAACTTAATATTGGTGACTGTAATAAATATTTTATATAGTCTGATCAAACTTTTCAGCTTTTCTCATTATTTGTTCTCTCTTTTCTAAAACAGTCATTAGTTTTGAGCTTCATCATCTACAGACTGACAACCACACAGAGTTCCTGAAGATCACTTTCCAGCAGTTCGCATGCAGTGGCTCCAGGTTTTCATGGTTTCCTCTCTCTCTCTCTCTCTCTCTCTCTCTCTCTCTCTCTCTCTCTCTCTCTCCCTCCCTCCTCTTTCCTCTCCTCCTTGCTTCTTTCCTTTTCTTTCTTATTTTGTTTTACTTTTGTAGTCTTCCCCAAAGATTTTCAATGGGAAAAATGAAGAGAATTTAACATTATAATTTTGGGGGTATCTATTATTTCTTCCATTCTTCTTGGAGGGGGTAGCTATCCAGTTTTTTGTTGTTGTTTTATTTTGTCTTGTTTTGTTTTGTGTGTGTGTGTGTGTGTGTGTGTGTGTGTGTGTGTGTTTTATTTTAAAAGTAGGAAATCATTTGAGCACAATTTCCACAAAAGAGTCCTCACTTTTGACACCAAATGCAAATTTGGGGGGTTCCCGAAACCACCCTCAGTTTAGATAATCTGCTAGAAGGAGTCACAGACTCACTGAAAGCTGTTATTATAGGATGGTTACAGGGGAAGGATACAGGTGAGAAACAGCCAAGGAAAGAAGCACACGGGGCAGAGTCCAGAAGACGTACCAAACACAGAGCTCATGAAGTCAGCACGTATCACCTTCCTGGCATTTATGAGTGACAATATGCACAGAATATTGCCAACCAGGGAAGGGCACACTAGCCTTTGGTGTCCAGAGGTTTTACTGGGGCTCATCACATACTTCCTTTATGTCTGACCTTTAGTCATTAGCCCCTCCCACAAGTCAGGCTAATAACTGCAGTCTCTAGTTCTCCTGGAGGTCAGAACTGAGATGTCAACATAAACCACACTGTTAGACTGTCCAGTGGCCAGAGCCCCTAGCGAACAAAGACACTTCTGTCAGGCAGTACATTCCAGAGGCTTAGATATTATCTCCTGGTAGCCAAGGGCAATGACCAGACCTCTCTTAAGATAAGGTTAATTGTTCACTACACAAGTATAATGACTCCCCCTCCCTTACCCTTCTTGCCCCTTACTTATCACTCAAATTCAAAATTATCCTATATAATAAAAGCCCAGAGACCAAAATGGTGGAATGACCAGAACAACCAGAGACCAGAATGACCACGGCCCCTTGCCCCAACTAGCCCTGCCCCTCAGGGAGTGGTTAGGGGTGATAAGGCAGGCAGGCGAGTGGTTAGGGGTGATCAGGCAGGCAGGCGAGCAGTTAAGAGCCAGCAGTTCCGGATTGCGAGAGGGTGTCTGACTGCCGGTTTAGGCCATATCCCGCAGAGTTCCCTGCGGATCAGGCCTAAACTGGCAGTCAGACATCCCACAAAAGATCCCAGATTGTGAGAGGGTGCTGGCCAGGCTGAGGGACACCCCCCCCCTCCGTGCATGAATTTCATGCACTGAGCCTTTAGTAATACCAATAATAGCCAATCTTATTTCATCTGATAGTGTGCTAGAGTCCACTCATAACCAGTTCACAAAAACTGATTGTTAAATATTTAGGAATTTTGTAAGCTTGTGTTAAACACAGCCATTATTAAAAATAAGTTATATAAACTTATAATTATATAAATTAGATTAAACAAAGATAATAAATGCTCAAAACTCATCATTTTCTAATTATGTATTATATTTTACCATTAATATACTCTTAATCTAATTTACAGCTACTATGTCTGTATGATGAAATATTGTAGAATGATGCTACTGTGCATCTCTTCCTCTCTGTGTTAAGTGACATTAGAGTGGTAGTGTTGTAGGTGGCAGGAACGCACCAGGCGTTAGCTTGGTGGGGTCAGACCGGACCTGAGCTCAGTAACCTAGGTACTTGAGTTCTGGCTAGAAAGAATTCAGAGCCAAGACCCAAACTATAAGAGAACATTTATTTGGTGAATCACAAAGGTAGAAAAAGTAATTCCTAGAAGAAATGGGCTTAGGAAATACGTTATAGAAGTAAAGGAAGGGCCCTTGGAGCTTGGGAGTGAGGGAGCTAATGGTAATGCGCCTGGAGGGTGGGGGTAGGGAAAGGCACTGGGAGAGATTTTAGGGGAAGTCCCAGGGGAAGGTCTTAATAGAATATTCAGCAGCTTTCCAGGTGTATCCTTTTACTCTTGTCTGTCTAACTGCCTACCACAGTAGCATGAAATTGACCATGGTAAGAATATTTACACAATGAAATTCAGGAAATGCTATTAATCAGGGCTTATGTTACTACTCTTTAATCAGCATCTTTCTGCTGATCTGATCCTGAAGCTGTTAAGAGTAGACTGTGACAACCCTAGGGTAAATTTCTGTTAAGTTATTTAAAAATATAAATCATAGTACTTCTAGAGCTGATGATTCTGATGGAAAATTTTTCTTAAAAAAATTAACTTTATACAAATCAGTTTAGTGTAAGTCTGCTTTAATTTTAATTTATACAATGGAATTTTAGTGTTTCCTCTGACATTTTCTATAAGTTGTGGAGGCTGTACTAACACCAGAAGTGGCATTTTGATTTGTATATAACTAAAATGTAAAACAAAGATGTATATAATTAAAATTTCATTTCTATGAAAATACTCTTTTTTTCTGATGTATACAATAATCTTAAATTTTAATTTCTGTTTCTAAGAGTGTAGACATTTGCTTTGCAATGCAGCTGCAGTTTTCCAAACCAGAGACTTTAAACTCTTTGAAGAAATCTAGTAAGTATTTGATTTGCTTTATTGCAATGCACATGTGTATGCATTTATCTTATAGTAATTTGCTGACCAAGTCTATTGCCTGTGAGCCAGAAATAATAAGATCACAGTGAGTTTTTGCTAGCCTTTTATTTAATTCTGTGCAGATGCCACAGAGATGGGTTCTGAGGATGGAAGGGGAAGCCAGTTTACCTCCATGAGGGGCCCCTCTTCTTTCCTGTGGCTGCTGCAACCAGACTGAGTCTATGGCTGGGCACAGCCATCCCTCAGACCATATGACACCCCAGACTGTCCCTCACTTCTGCAATAGGTGCTGGGCCAGCTTCTTCTTTTTTTCAAAATATATTTGATTTATTTATTTATTTTTAAAATATTTTTATTGATGTCAGAGAGGAAGAGAGAGAGAGAGAGAGAGAGAGAGAGAGAGAGAGAGAGGAAGAGAAACATCATTGATCAGCTGTGTCCTGCACATCCCCCACTGGGGATTGAACTGTGATCTCCTGGTTCATAGGTTGATGCTCAGCCATTGAGCCATGACAGCCAGGTTGGGCCAGATTCTTAAAGTACAGGTTGACTGACCTACAATAGATCCCATGAGTGGTGGGGATAAGGTATTTTAATTTTCTTGTTTTTCTAGTTTTCTGTATTTTATTTAACAATTGGTAATAGTTAAATAACTAAACAACAAAAAATATTGTTAATATAAATTATGTTATCAGCTTTTTTCCTGAATTTTTGCCTTTGTAACATTGCATTTGTTCCTTTATATAGGGTGTATCTGAACAGGTATATAAGACTAAAAAGGTATAGTGTAGTAATTTTAAATTGGTTTTTTTAAAATAGCTATTTGCCCTTGATTTATTTTTAGTTGTGTCCTCATTTCTTTCAGGAATCTGGTCCATTTTAATCTGTACAAGTGACTTAATCTGTATGAGCCTCAGAGAGGCACTTTGGTGATAATTTGTGTTAAATTGCTTTGAGTGGACAAAAGGTGTCTTAGAAGGGAGTATTGCTCTAATTATAAACCCTTTAAAAATAATCAGAGACTAAATAACAAGAATTCAATCTAATTTCCTTTTGGGCCCCTTGATTAGTCAAGACGAGTGCTTTACACCTTATGAGAGAAGCAGAAGGGATGATGGGCCGACAGCAATGTAAATACTTTTACGGTATTTTCCTGTAGCACAGAGCAGTATTGAGTCAGAAATGATGGAGCTGCAAAGGATATGTCAAATATCAAAAAGTATTTACTTATTGGTTTGTCCTTAAAGGGACTTTGAAGTACCTCACTGTTTTTAAGTAAATTAATCCAAACTTCATCATCTGTACTAACTAGAATTGAGATGCCACTGAACTTAGAGGGAAGCTTAATGAACTCTCTGTGCTCAGAAATCTGGAATCCCTCTTAGAGGTTTCCCTTATGTCTTCCTTCCCCTATTTCTTTTTGGAGTCCCAGCTGTGATCCTTATTCTCTTCTTCCCATTGTCATAGAGAACTCTGATACCATTTCATCTTAAACAAACAAACAAGCAAGCAAACAAGAAGTGGGTGGGTAGAGCGGTGCCTCTTACAAGGGTGAATTGAGGATGATCTGAGGGAGAAAAGTTCTGCTGTCTATAAAAATAAAGTATTAGAGTTACTCTTTGAGAATAAGACATTGTCTCTAGAAAGGCCTTATTAATTATAGGTAAGGATTGATACATTGGCCTATTGTGACTGCTATCATTTCAGCAAGGACAGCTTCCCTGTCCAACTCAGCTGTTAACTTAGAATGTTAGACTTTGCCGCTTGAACTTGAGTCTCGGCTTCTCACCTTCCTCTCTGAACAACATGAGCTTCAGTATCTGCTCCAGTTTCTCCTCAAACTACTAGACGTTGGGCTCCTGCAGTCACTCAGCTACTGGGCCAGGCCAGCCAGCAGCGTGGCCAGCATCTATGCAGATACCTGGGGCTTGGGCTCCCAGATCTCTGTGTCCCACTCCACCAATGTGCGGAGTGGTTGGGGATACAGGGGCCTGGCTGTGGGGATGGCTGGGCGTCTGTCGGATATAGGGGACATTCAGAGCTAGAAGGAGACTATACAATGCCTGAATGACTGCCTGGCCTCCTTTCTAGAGAGGGTGAGAAGCCTGGAGGCTGATAATCGGAAACTGGAGATCAAAATTCGGGAACACCTGGACAAGAAGGGACCCCAGGTTAGAGACTGGGGGCATTATTTCATGACCATCAAAGGCTCAGATCTTTGCAAGTTCTGTGGACAATGCCTGCATCGTTCTACAGACTGACAAGGCCTGCCTTGCTGCTGATGACTTCAGGGTCAAGTATGAGACAGAATTAGCCATGCACCAATCTGTGGAGAGTGACATCAATGGGCTCCGAAAGGTCACTGATGACATCAATATCACTCGGCTGCAGCTTCAGACAGAGATCAAGGCTCTCAAGGAGGAGCTGATCTTCATGAAGATCCACGAGGAGGAAGTAAATGGTCTACAAAACCAGATTGCCAACTCTGGGTTGACTGTGGAGTTGGCTGCCCTCAAATCTCAGGACCTCAGCAAGAACATGGTGGTCATCCAGGCCCAATATGATGAGCTGGCTTGGAAGAGCCGAGAGGAGCTAGACAAGTACTGGTCCCAACAGATTGAGGAGAGCACCACAGTGGTTACCTCACAGACTGTTGAGATAGGAGCTGCTGAGATAATATGGACCTGAGACATACAGTCCAGTCCTTGGAGATCGACCTGAACTCAATGAGAAATCTGAAGGCCAGCTTGGAAAACAGCCTGTGGGAGGTAGAGACCCGCTATGCCATGCAGATAGAGCAGCTCAACAGGATCCTAATGCACCTGGAGTCAGAGCTGGCCCAGGAGTAGGAGGCCCTGATGAACATCAAGGTCACACTGGAGGCTGAGAGTGCCACCTACTGCTGCCTGCAAGAAGGAGGTGTGAACTTTAATCATAATGATGCCCTGGACAGCAGCACTGCATGCAACCCATCCAAAAGACCACCACCTGCAAGATTGTGGACACCAAAGTCCTGAGGTGGTAAAGGCAGCAGAAGTGTGGCACCCCTTGGGCAGGAGGCCAAAAAGAAGTTCAGAGATCATTGAGCATTAAAAAAGAAGTTAGACTTTTATGGTATTAACCTTACACACACACACACACACACACACACACACACACACACACACACACACACACAATTTGAGCAGCTTTGGTCATCCAGCCCAGTACTTAGCACATTGTAGCATAAGATTTCTCCCTCTCCCCTCCCCTCCCCTCCCCTCTCATCTCTCTTTTTCTCTCTCAGCCTGTGTGTGTGTGTGTGTGTGTGTGTGTGTGTGTGTGTGAGAGAGAGAGAGAGAGAGAGGAACATTGATGTGAGAAAGAACCATTGATCAGTTGCTTTCCCTAAGTTCCCTGACTGGGGATCAAACCCATCACCCAGGTATGTGCCTTGATGGGCAATGAACTGGCAACCTTTTGGTGCTCAGGATTACACTCAACCAACTGAGCCACTCCTGCGGGGCTACCTACCCTTCATATATTTTTATTAAATTAATGGCAGGCAAAGAGGAAAGGCTGTGGTGTGTTCAGGTGTGTGTGGAGTCTGGATATTAAAGCTACCAAGGTTCAAAATGCTTTGATGCAAGGATGAAAACATTACTCAGTCACTAACTTTCAAGTCACCAAAAAACAAAGTGTAATGGATGAAATGCACCCTGCCTTGGGATATTTGTCTTAATTCATTGAGTTTTCAACTATTCAGATAGACCTTTAAGTTAAAAAAAAATTAGTGAAGTAAAGAGTCACACAAATGCTGAGTCAGTATAAGAACAGTATCTTTTATTTTACTTTTTTTTTTAGGTTCAGGAAACTTTTAAAAAAGTTTGAAAAGATGGGAATAAAATGGCACGTTTTGTATTTTAAGTTATATTTTATTTGAATTATAAAATTCCAGGTAATCTCATTAACCACAGCAATAAAAATTTACAAGGAGCCTCAAAGAGTTAACAGGTTTTTCAAACCTGGTGAACTTCTAGTACTCATCACCTAACTTATTTACATATTAAAATTAGTAATTTTTAAGAAGAAAACCGTTCATTAAACAGGAAGATTGGGAGCCAAAGCCAGAGGCCTTAACACAGGGGTTTGTTTTGTTTTAAATCTATTGATTTAGCAGGAACAGAACAAACATGCCCCACAGCCCAGAATATAATAATCAGACCCAAGTGATAAGCCTAGATGGGAGGAAACCGTAGTTTGCTCAGTACCTCCCGTATTACCTCAAGAGTTTCAGTTAAAAAAAAAACCAACAACAAACTACGAGGAAAAATGTTTCAAAAGCCAACTCAGCGTCCAGACCCACACCAAAAATCGAACCTGGGACTTTTATAAGTGCGAGCAGACTGATGCAGGGCAAAGGAAAACAGCCGGTGGCGCCTCTGGACAGCCCGGGCAGGGCGGGCAGGCAGCCCACAGCCAGGGAGACGCTTTCTCCTGCTTTTCGGAAAGGGGCTTGGGACACTCATTTCCCCGGGGTCCCCTCCACCCACGGCTGCAGCGCCGGGTGGGGGACAGAAGGGGATGCGGACAGGGCGACCGGACGCGAGCGCGGTGCGGGCGGGAGAGCGTGTCCCGCGTCCCTGGCTCCGGCGCTGCTGTTGTCCGGGGTGCTGAAACCCGGGGACTTCCCGGGAGGCAGCGGCCACTTTTCTCTCGGGGGGATGGGGGGTGGGGGAGAGGTGGGGGGCGCGGGGAATTCGGGCCCCAGCTAAGCCCACCTTGGCCCGAGGTGCCTTCAGATGAGGTCCTCCCCAGCCGGTTAGGGGAAGGAGAGAAAGGGGATGGAGTGAGCAGAGCCGGGCAGGGCAGGCGGGAACCCGCCTCTCCGGGCGGCTCAGCGCCGCGAGCCCCGCTCCACCTGCGCGCGAACTCTGGCCGCCCGGGGACGCCGCGCCCGGGGGACCGACCGCGGCGGCGAGCCTGGCGCGGGCGGCGGGCGCCGGGGTGTGTGTGGGTGAGCGGCTCCAGTCCCGGGATGGGGGGGTGGTGGCGGCTAGAGCGAGCGGGGCATGCGCAGTGGTGCGGAGGAGGTAGCGATGGCCGAGGGAGGCGGGGGGACTGCTGTTTATTTGCAGC